AACGCTCGTGCCTGCCATCTCTGGACTTATTTTCTGCCCGGGTTGGTAAAGGGCCTCAACAAAACGATCACTGCCACGAGGATACGGAGCATCTGCGGTACCGATGGAAACCTTATAACGAATGCTAGGGTTTGTCGCACACCAGCCCATGAACAACCACAGTGACGACAACTGTCGAAGCACCTCGATAGACGGTTGAAGCTCCGTCGTCATTGGGGCTCGTTTTCGGCTGCTTCACGACCGCCAAACGTGTGGCTCGAAACCACACCGATGTCTCAGTCATAAAACTCGCAATTTCATCTCTACTGCAGTCTATTAGTCGATGTAACAGCAGTCGAAATGAACGAGACGTCGTGGGTGCCGAAGTCAGGTTGTATCAACAAATGCTTGTAGTGCTGTCGACACCAGGTGACGTGACAATGAGGGTTGTCGTGTGGAACACCCGATCCCTGGGTTGAACAAGAGGGGCTCAACAGAGCAGGCTTTGTTGATGCACAACGAAACCAAAACTGTCCAACGGGCGGCGTCCATCCGAGTTCTCCATGCTGGCTGCCCAATCCATTGCACGCGGGTTTCGTATCCACTGTGCTCACACAGCCTGAAACGTTTGGGAGTGAATTGTTGAGTTGGTCGGGCCTCAGATTGTCAGCCGCTCACAGCGGAGATGCCGTCGATGTGTAGTGGGTCCCAGCTCCTGGTCTTGAACCACGCCGGGGCCACCTTCTCTACCCGCGATGAAGGAGAAGACCGGAGAGAACGTCGACACAAGCGTTTACTTCAGACCTTAACCACGTTGGTATTGTTGTCTCGTGTGTGGCAATTGCGCGTGTGTAGTTATGCCTTTAGATGCTTGAGTCATAGATGCGCTAACATCGAGATCGATGTGTGAGGATAGTCGTTTACGCTAATAAGAGGTACTTGAAGATCCGCGCGGCTGGCGACATACTGGGAAAAGGGGGCCCTGTGTGGGAGCTGGAGTGATCGGATTTACGAGTGTGAATTAACGCGGCACACGACAGATGTATTCATAAAACCAAGCATGTGTGGACTCCCCTTGTTAAAACATTTTCATTACGTGAGAAGTTGAGAACGCGCCTACGGCCAGCTCCTCTTGGCCTTCCTGTCTGAGCACGTCCGAAGGTCACAACTACCGCCAGCTCGAGTGTAATCGAGTCTTGTGTGCACTTAGGGAATGGCGCACCTGCACAACAGTGTGGTCGCGGTTCACGGCGCTTTGACCTCAGCCACGTGCATCATCGACGGACGATGGGTTCTCAAGGTCACGGACTACGGCATCCGCAAGTTCTACTACCTCAACAACCGCTTTCCTGAGAGAACTGCCGCCGGTACGTTGGCCCTCCGCCTTTTCTTCGCCTCACACAAGCGCCTTCTTGTGCGAAGTGCCTGTCGTGCCCAGTTTTCATCGATTATAACTCAAGTTGAGCCAATGAGATGGTTTAGCCTCAACAACTCGATCAATGCAAAATCGATTGCACTATATCCACTCTTCCCCATGTAGTATGATATGAACTAGAATTAAGACTGTATTTTAGGAAACCTGATTTATGATTCAAATCTTTTTGGTAAAATTCAAACTCATATTTGCTGCATGCTCCAAATAGTCCCACTGCGATATTTTTAAAACACCACCAATGTCAAACTCTATTAGACTAACCAATCACTATTTGACCAGCAATCTATCTCGAGCCGTGATACGTAGGCCTTGGTCGAATGGTCATTGGCTAATGCGCAGGTCCCCTCCAATTTACGACTTTACAACCGACAAACCTCTCGGTGTTGTGCCTCCTAGAGAAACTTGGCATGGCGCCAGAGCTGCTGCGAGACCCGGTGCTGGGGCTAATGGGAACTCGCCAGGCCGACGTCTACTCCGCGGCGATCATCATGCACGAGACCCTCTGCCGCTGCGCGCCGTTTGGCGTGGCGTCCGACGACGAGACGGTGGAGGCGGTGGTGGAGAAAGTCGCCCTGGCCACGCCACCTCTTCGTCCACGCGTAAGCCATCTTCGCCGAATTTTCAGCACACACCACTCGAGTAAAACCGCTGCCCCCCGCTGTGCTCTGACTGGTTGGGATGGCTGCGAAATGCCGTCACTTACGTATCCACAGACCCCATGCCCCGCTTTGTGGGATTACAATAGACAGAAAAGCATTTATCTTGATTAATAGCGCGGAGTTGTTACCCAACTAATTACATTGCGGTGGCTGTACCACCGAGCATGAGAAAGCAAACTTCGTGAAATACGGAGTAATACTTCTTGCTTGGCCTTAAAAAGATATCGATCATCGACGCGTGTTTAAATGGTGTGTCGCATTGGGATACGGTGTAGTCTTTCCTGTTCAGTAAAAACAACCAACTGAGGCTCGCCGCGGTCGTCCACACATGTTTAAGTCGTGTGTCGTGCCGGAGTTTAGTATCTTACATAGAATAAAAAGTGCTTTTACATAAATTTGGGCAAAGGTGAAGACAAAACAATATATTGGTAAATCGTCGATTGGCACCAATAAATCAATAAGAGTCAATGAATACCAAGAATTCAGCCAATCTATGGCATTTAAATATGGTTCGTTGGGAAGCCTCCCAGTGAAAATTACTCTCGGAATGAAACAAAATTTGACTGCTCATGAAATGTCCTATAAAACAGAAATTACATCTCTATTATAAGTACAAAACTGAATAAATGAGAGACGAGATTTTGGTAATATGCAGCCAATCAACGCACTAGTTTAGTTTTCTATTTCCACAAGCCACGCAAGACCCAATGGGCGGAGGCGCACAGCCACAATTGAACATTTGAGGAAACCTAAACCCCAATTCGGAATCTCATTCAGATCCTAGATTCACAGGCCGAATTTCTGCCACAAAACGTGTATAACCTACTTTACGTGCCAGCGGTTTCGGCCAGGACCCACAAACCGCGTCCAACTGAAGGAACATACCCCTTTTCCATGTCCATTCCCTCTTGCCTACGGGCTGGAAGACGACTTCAGCGATGCCGAAGATGCCTTGAGTTCAACTGACCGTGAACGCGGCCCGGCGTGCATCCGGCGACTCCCATCAGAGCACGCACGCGCGAAGGAGGAGGTCAAACAGGGTTGGTTGCACGCCCGCACGGCCCCCTTAATATCGTTGCCAAGCTCGTAGGTGCGCAGGGTGGCGCGGGAAAAGACCTTCTGTTCCACCAATGCTGCCATGTTGAACGCACTTTGTGTGTCCTGTCTAGGATCGCTGCCACCAGTTATAACGCTCCTAGGTATGATCAAACGGCAGGGATGATTACTACCGTCTTATCTGTGCAAAAACGTTGGAGTCTATGCTCGTGAGTTGGAGCTTCCTAAAATGGCTGGTCCTGGATGTTCGCTCCCGCTCATTGTCTCCTGACTGGCTTCTAGAAATAGTATACAAGCTGCTCAGTTGATTGGCTGCTTCTGCTTCGCGCGCTTTTGATTCCAACCGACCACCCAACCAAAACCAGGCCACCGCGCACGTGATGCCACCTAAATGGTCCGGCGGCGGCGGCGGCGCCCACTGCTCGCTATGGACTAGAGGCTGATCGCCAAGATCCCAACCCTCCACCACGTCTCGACTAGTTAATAATCATTCAAATAATTTAAATGACTACTCGTATGTCTTTTGAATCAGACGTGATTACGCTTTCATTTTTAATCGAACTAATGAGCGCTTCTCGCTATTAAGTTTGGAGATGCGGATGTGCCTGTAGCATACAGGAAAATGGTGAATTCGGCGTGGGCGGAGAACGCCAACATGCGGCCGTCATTCCCGGAACTGGAAAAGGAACTCTGCCGGCTCAGTCAGGGCAGGTGGGCACCGCGATCCCGCAGTTGCTTTGA